AAAAGGACCTAGGGGTGACAGTGGACGAGAAGCTGGATATGAGTCAGCAGTGTGCCCTTGTTGCCAAGAAGGCCAATGGCATTTTGGGATGTATAAGTAGGGGCATAGCGAGCAGATCGAGGGACGTGATCGTTCCCCTCTATTCGACATTGGTGAGGCCTCATCTGGAGTACTGTGTCCAGTTTTGGGCCCCACACTACAAGAAGGATATGGATAAATTGGAGAGAGTCCAGCGAAGGGCAACAAAAATGATTAGGGGTCTGGAACACATGACTTATGAGGAGAGGCTGAGGGAACTGGGATTGTTTAGTCTGCGGAAGAGAAGAATGAGGGGGGATTTGATAGCTGCTTTCAACTACCTGAGAGGTGGTTCCAGAGAGGATGGTTCTAGACTATTCTCAGTGGTAGAAGAGGACAGGACAAGGAGTAATGGTCTCAAGTTGCAGTGGGGGAGGTTTAGGTTGGATATTAGGAAAAACTTTTTCACTAGGAAGATGGTGAAACACTGGAATGCGTTACCTAGGGAGGTGGTAGAATCTCCTTCCTTAGAAGTTTTTAAGGTCAGGCTTGACAAAGCCCTTGCTGGGATGATTTAGTTGGGGATTGGTCCTGCTTTTGAGCAGGGGGTTGGACTAGATGACCTCCTGAGGTCCCTTCCAACCCTGATATTCTATGATTCTATGAGGGGCAACTCCAGGGACAAATGGAGGGCAAATCAAACACGTGTCTCAGGTATGGGAGCTACAAATTTAGCCACTGGACCACCAACGCACCCTCTGGGTTATGTCTCTGCTGACTTCCCCGCCTGGCCTGGTTCTGTCACCCAGTGATGGGTGAAGGGCCTCACCGAGATGGGAGAGGGGACCTGCAAACACTACAGCTAGTGCCTGATGCCCAGTGCCATTGATGGCCAGAAAAGCAGGCCCAGGACATCCCCTTAGAGGTGATCTGAAAGTGCAGACAGGGTGTCTCATGCTCTCCCTTGCCGCTCTCTCCAGGAATGCCAGGGGTGGGTCGGTCACTATGGTTTGTTCATTTCTTGTGTTCTTACCATAGGAGTGCTAGGAATGTCAGCTGGGGTGTCCTGTGAAGGCCTCCAATAAGAACGGGCAGCTCTTCCAGCCCTACTCTGAAGTGGTTGGGCACTGAATGATTTATGGGGCTGGCTGTTCACTCCACTGCTTGAGTGAGCTAGTGTAAACTCCTCAGGCATTCTAACACCGTACCCCTAGAGTCACAGACCGTCCCCTTGGGTACACCGATCTGTCTTGCCACCCAGGTAAACTTATCTTTTGTGATAGATGGTCCCTTACACCAAAGATCACAGCAATATTCAGGTTACTTTGCCAGGGCAGTTGCTCTTTAGATCTCACACCAAAGACAATGCTTGTAGCCAATCCTATAATAAACTACCTAGAGATTTATTATACAGGAAAAAAGGAAATAAATTATTTACAGGTTAAAGCAGGTAAACCTATATGCACACAAATGAGTTCCAAACTTAAGTTTCAAAAAGTAATAAAAGGTCTATATGATAAGCAAGCTGTATCTGTCCTTCAGGGCTAACCCAAGCCAAGCACTGGGGATCTTTTGCTTCTGCTTAGTAATCCTTGTCCCCAGTTCCTCCTTGTTTGCCTCCCCCTCTTTTACCCCCCTGAAATTGCAAACTCAAAGGTTAGGAGGAATTCACTTGCAAGTCTCCTCTTCGTTGTGTTGAGAGGGGAGAGCAATCAACAAAGTCTTTTTGTCCTCTTTGATGTTCCACTATAGTTTGGGATGGACCTTCCATGTGGTGCAGGACATACGCCGTCTCCAACAGACATGTTTTCACGCTAGTTAATGTCTCTCTCCTGTCTGGTGATTTATGCAGTCACAGAGGCTCACAATGCAACTGCTCAGATATTACCTTATAATATGGGCTACAGATGCTATACGGGAGATTAATGCAGACATCAATTCACAAGCATTCAATAAAGTCTAAACACTAAGCACATTTTAATACCTCTTTTAACAATACTAATGTGCAGGTGAGCCAGACTGAGCCCAGTTAGGTATCTGTCAGCATTCATGTGAGTTGTGGGGGCCTTGGCATGACCTTGGGGGTCACACGCAGCTGGTCAAAATCATTTAAAATATGCAATTTCAGTGACATTTTTCATCAACGTTTCACACATGGACACAAAAGGGTGACCTTCCTGGTGAAAGTTATAGTGAATATTTTGCCCTGTTGTTTGACCAGCTAAAAAGATGATAAAATTCTGACACATGTTCATTGAAATTTTGACCCAATTAAAAAACAAACAAAAATTCATGTAATTGTCATGAAAATTTCTGCCCAAACTGTGCTCCGGTTTTCAGTGAGAGCCACTGAATTTTTAATGTAAAGAAGAAAGGAAAAAAACCACTTTTTAAAAGGAAAATGTTCATTGCCAGCGCTCCTTTATCCATCAGCCGGAACCAAAGAAGGGCAGAAAGCCCGTCTTGTTTGGGGGTTTTGGCAGGTCATCTTTGACATTTCTAGATGACGGTGACTCATGTGAGCGAAACATCAAACCGCAAGTGAAAGAAACTCTTCACGGCTGCAGCATTGGTTCTTCTGTGGCAATACTGTCCCCTGCGACATCGGAGGCTCAGTTTGATTCTCAGCTGCTGAGAATGACTTTTTTTTAGTGTCCTGTCTCTGTACAGTCCTGCTGCAGGACCCTGGTGGACCTGACTGACGAAGATACAAGCATTGTCTTTGCATTCGGGTAATGCCTGTTGTTCAGGGGCCTGCCTTTGCTGTCACTGACCCTCCACCAGAACTGACTTTCAAAGAGAAACGGTGCTTCACCCACAAGTCCTAGTAGCACCAGTAATTGGTGCCACCGCCCCTGAGCTGTCCTCCTGTCAGATCCCCTTTGGCAGCCTCCCCTTTAAGTCGGTCTTGAACCAGTGCCTCAGCCTATGCTCAGGGGCCAGGTGCTGGCCATTGGGAGAGGGGAAATGGAGGTGCTGATTAAAGATCCCACAGCCCATTTCAGAAGCAAGGAACCTGGCTAAATTGCAGTGTGGGTGCGTGCCTTCGGCTGCCCCAGGCTTTCCTCTTGCGTTTCCTGCGTGGCAGGGGAGAATTCTCCCCCGCACCCTCTTGCTGGGCACCATTTAGCTGCTGTTTTCCTACTACACAGTCCTGGTCTGTTTCAGACTCTACCATCCAGTGGTGGATTCATGGTTCCCTCTCTTCAGGATTGTCTAGGTTAGGAACAGAGACCGAAGTTAGGCCAGGGTAAACTAGGATGTGAGCTCACCCAAATGCCTAAACTAGAAAACTCCGACAGGCCCAGGGGCTCCACAATCACTGAGCTTAGCGTCACTTTCAAGATGACTTCTAAGGCGAGACCTATCAGCTGACATGTTCCCTTTATTATGTGTCTATGGAGAAGGATCAAGAGGGTACTTGGGTTCCTGAGTGGGTTTTCTTGTCTTAGTATCATGAATCTCATATCTGGTGTTTTCTGGTTCTGTAGGAGGCCTTGGATGAGAACTGGCGTGGCAGCCCTTAGCCCTAAACTGAAGGGGTATTATTGTCCTTACATCTGTGCGTGGGAAGCAGATGGGAAGTGAGGGAACACTCAGAATTGTAATTCAGGAATCATGTATCCAGTCACTTCTAAAGTGGTAGAAAAATGCTCGACACCTGCGCAAAGCTAGCAAACATGTAGATGTGAACAAAAAGAAGCTGAAAACAAGGAGTTGAAACAAGCTAAGAATCACTTTCCCCTCCCTCCAACTTCAAATGTGGTGGAAAAATTTGGTCAGCCTGATCTGAAGTTCTGCTATTCTGGCCAGTCTGTCTGTGTGGGTGTTTGTTTTAGCAGCTGAGGATTGTGATGAAAGCTCCAGGCCTGTTGTTCGGGTGGTTTCTAAATGTCTCTGCGGACGTCCGACTGAGCGGGAGGTGACTTTGGAAGGACAAGGAGCCTGGGTGGAGAGCTGAAGCAGTGCTGCTGGTTTGTGTAGTCAAGACCCCGAAGTCTGTCTGAAAGCGTCGGTTCACGGCTGGAGCTTTGGTGGTTCTCTGTTGCTCTTTCAGGCTGGGACTAGATTAGGGCCTGGTCTACACAGCGTTGGTCTCAGTATAAGTGTGTCGGCTGTGTGTGTGGCCAGGGGGGCAGTGTTTGACTGGTGTCGGTATACCAATGTAAGCCATGGGGTAGGTACCTTCTCCCAGTCTGGCCCCCCTCTCCAAACAGGAATAATCTATCTGGTGTAGACACCGGTGAACCTACCGCTGCAGCCGCACTGGGGGTTGTCCTCTGTTGCCTGTGCCAAACTTGTGTGTAGACAGCTGCTAGGCTCGGACGGTCTGACCTTTTCAGTCACGTGCGTAGCTGGGCGGCACCTCCGTAGGCAACGTACAGAAACGAAATGGGGTCTCCACACGGCGTGACCTCGCCCACACAGGGCTGGTGAGGTCACGCCATTTGGAGGACGCCATTCGACAGAGCAGAACGGCACGGGGCCTGATGCCTTCCTGGTGTGGAGGGGAGTGGACGGAGTCGTCCCGGGGGTGGGATCTAGCCCGCCAGCGCTGTTCTCAGCGGCGTTAGCTCGGTCGAGCCAGCCTACGGGCCTGCCCGCACATGAAGTCGCCTTGCAGGAGCAGTCACCCTGCCTCATTCCGGAAAAACTTTCACATGTAGCCGCGTCCTGAGTGGTTTGGAAACCCCACTTAGCACCAGTGCGGACTCGGGTTAACACCGTACACTCGAGTCTAGGCTTCAGCTCGGTTTAGCGCGTGGTAAAGTGCCATTGTCCTGCCTTGACTAGAGCTGGGGGAGGTGCTAACAAGATGGAGCTGGGTGACTCCGTCCAACACCCCACCTTTAAATCCCGCTCTAGGTCTGGGAGCTGTGCAGTTCAGGCCCGCAAGGGACGGGGGGGTGTGGCGCGGCGGGCGGGGGAAGGGGTCTTGGGAGCAAGCCAGTCACTCCCCTGCATGTGTGTTGTTTCTGCAGGGGAATGTGGACGCAAATGTTCAGGGCGTGGTAGAGCAGGTTCTCACTGGCGACGCAGGGAGCAGCCAGAAGGCCGTGCCCCCCAAAGCCCTGCTGGATAACTGCGTCAAGGTCATGTGGCTGCTGTACAGCGAATCATGTGAGTAGAGATCCTTTCCAGGGAAGCATGGAGGGAGGAATGAGCCAAGGCAGCTCCCAGCTCACGAAGGGGGCTGTCTGGGGGAGGTGAGCCGTCCATGCTCCGGTAGGGAAATCCCAGCCTGCGGATCACTCTGGCGTTGCTCCCAGGCGATGGGCAAGGTCAGTGGAAACGCCCTAAAAGTGGGGGGCCACAGGTGCCTGAACCGTGGCCCCACCCCCAATGCCATGCTGCCCCTAAAGCATCGCCCTGCACCACCCTTTCTCCCGGAGGCCCCGCCCTTGCACCACCCCTTCTCCTGGAATCCACACCCCCTTCTCGCTCATCTCCACCCCTCCCCTCATTGCTCGCCCTTACGGCCAGTAAAAGACGGGGGGCCGTGGCCCCTGGCGCCCCTGTTCTGGCACCCCTGGCCATGGGCAGTGCAGATCAGCAGAGAGGCTGTGAACGCACCGGGAGAGCAGATCTGCAGGGTACAGAGGGCCCTTTGCATGCTGTGACAGCTGCCCATCCAGCATGTTCCCTGTCCCGTGAGCTGGGCACACAGACGTGTGGAAAATGGGTCTAGCTCAGGCATTCTGGGTGGCTGGATGGAGGGCCACTCAGCCGACCTGTTGGCTGCGTTAGTGACGGACGCCTCGGCTCTCTCCTGCCTCAGGTAAATAGGATTCTGCCTATGATCAGGAAGGGACCGTGGCCATTTCCTCCCTCTCTCCGTGCCCTCTGCGCTGCCTCGGCATGTGATCTCTGTTGTCACGCTGCCTGTCTGCTTGTGCCCCGCAATCCCAGCTTCTGTGTTGCATTGTGCCTGCCATCTCCCCAGGGCCCAGAGGAAGCCAGCACCCTACGAAGCATCTTCCAAGGTGCCCAGCAGTGGGAGCTTTGCCTTGCTCTCCCAGGGAAGAATGAGAGCAAAGACAGAGGAAGGGGAGTGCAGAGGAGTGGATTTTCTCTACCAGAGCCGGGGGATAAGCTCAGGAAATCTTTCTGGCACGGGGAATCTGGGGAAGGTGGTGGCTTCTCCTGCCATGAACAGGCTGCATTTGTGTCGCTCTGAGGGTGCGGCTATGTGTTGCTCCCCGTGCTCCCCACCAGAATAGAGACCCGAGGGCCAGCTCTGCAGCAGCAGTGGAGACTTGCGGCTCATTCACGCCTGCCTCAGCAAGGGATTTTCTCACAAGGGTTGTCAGAGAGAGAGAGAGCGCGTGATTCACTATGTAACCTGGCCTGGGGCGTGTTGGCCTCAACGCATGCCTGAGTCAGGACGCACAGCTGGTACACCGCAGCCCCTGCAGAGAAGAGCTGCTGGAGGGTGCTCCCTGGAGACTGCTGTGACTGGGTTGGCAGCTTTGCGGCAGGGACGTTCCAACCCCTGAATGTTTAACACAAAGCTGCCGTAGCTGGAACATCCCCGCTCGGCCTGGCCTCACCTGGGGACCAAAGAGGAAAGGAGCATCGGGCCACGGAGCGAGTGGGACAAGGGGCTTTGGACCCCGTGTGCGAGGGAGCCACCTACAGGGACACTTTCCATCCCACCCCAGCGCTGGTGCATGTGAATGCAGGGCCAGGCCTGCGGAGCCAGAGGAGCTGAGAGTGCCAACAGCAATCTGCCCTCAGACTCTTCCTAGAGCTTGTTGTGTTGTGGTTCCTCTCCTGAGCGAGCTGATGGATGATGGAGCCGTGCACCTGCAATATGTGCCCATTGATCTAATCCTAGTTCTAAAATGCCTGCCACCATTGTCACCTAGCACCTTAGAGCTCATGACCAGGCTCTTGGGCTGCCTTGTCTGTTCTTTCGCTGGCTCCAGCCTAGGGCTAGGGCACCCGGAGACATGTATCTCCCTTTGACCCGTGTCTCCCTGCCCTTTTAGAAGACGTTCTCTGCTCCTGTTTTCAGTGCTGCCAACTCGTGTGGTTTGGTCACATATCTTACGACATGTTTTCTTTAAAGCCCCAAGCCCTGGAATCACCATATAAATGCACCTTGTCAGCTTGCATTAACCAAAAAAGCTGGTCTCTAGCTCTCCTAGTCGCAGCTGAGCTTGTAAATGTGTCCCCTACAGGCTCCGATGCCAATAAATGCAATAAAGAGCAAGCGAACCCAACTCTAAATGTGTTGAATTTAAAGTCTCATGATTCATGGGATCAGGGAACTCCTTGGATGTCATGTGTCCTCCCTCCCGCCTGCTGGGAGACTCGTTGGCCATGTCTCTCATGCTGCCCAGGCCATGTGCTGGGGCTGAATGGTTTCCGGGCAGGCTAAGCAGCAAGGGCTGTCCTGACCCTCCCCCATCACACAGAGCTGTTTTGCGTCCAGAAGCTGAAGTGCTTTTCAAAGGGAAATCTGTAGATGCGGGAGGACTGGGCTGTGTCTGCTCCAGCCAACTTTGTAGCTGTAATTCTCCACCAACTGGAGCAACAGTGGAAGCTGCCGTGTAAATGGCGCAGGGGCGCTTTGCGCTCTGTGCTGTCTAACTCCACCTTGCACATGGCTAGAGGACACCGTCATAGAAATGCCCAAGTCATCCCTATACTGCGGCTTTCGTCGCAGGCACCGCTGGTGGAGAATGATGTCGAAGTTTGCCTGCTAAGTCAAGCCAGAGAGGAAAGAGAGAGGGTTTGCAACACTGATGCACGACAAGAGGGAGCAGCGTACAGGGAGTTGGCCATAGAAGCTTTGCGTCTGGTGGAAACATTGGTCCCCGGGGTTAGCCTGGCTCGTGAAGGTGGCAAATGGCAGATCACCACTGCTGAACCACGACTACCGTTCCGTGCTGTTGGCTGCCCTGTAACTGGTTCCCTGGAAAGCGCTGACTCCTCAGATGGCCCGAGGGTTGAGCATGTCTCACAGACCTGGAGGGAGCATTTGACCCGCACAAACAGGAATTGGGTTTGAACCGATGTTGCAGCTGCCTCCCTCCATATGGTCGTTGGCTTTAGTGTAGAGGGGCCGTCTGTCCAGGTGTGGTGGCCGGGAAGTGAGATGACAGCCGTGGGACAGACTGGTAGCAGGTGCTGTGGCTCAGTGGAGAGTCCAGGGCCTGCATGTTAACAAGACACCTCAACTTTTAGGTGCCCAATTGAAGCCCCTTTGAAGGGCCAGATGTTCAGAAAGGGCTGACCACACCCTGATCTCTTTAAGGCATCTCCATCGGGCCCCCAAAGGGTGGGTCACCCCACACTAGTCAGGAGTGAAACTTGACGCCTTGATGTCTCGTCTCTCTCCCAAATCCAGGGACTTGTTTCCCACAACTCCAGGCTCATCAGGGCGCCACGCTGCCACTCACGTTGCTCATGGAGAAGCAGATTCAACAAGGGATGGGGCTGGGCAGGGGGAATTTCTCAAGTTGTTATTGAACATAAAGAGTAAGATGCAGCCCGTTGCCAAAGAATTGCATAGCAATAAATGGTTCGGGAGCGTGGCTGGAGCTGAAATGGCCTTGTCTGAATCTAGCTGAAGTGCGAGACAGCCTCCGCGGCTGGAGAATCAGAGCACCTGTCAATCAGTATGCAGCCGAGGAAGTGAGCTGTAACTCACAAAAGCTCATGCTCAAATAAATGTTAGTCTCTAAGGTGCCACAAGTCCTCCTTTTCTTTTTGCGAATACAGACTAACACGGCTGCTCCTCTGAAACCTGTCAATCTGTAATGTATCCACCCCTCCCCCCACCGGGCAGGGCAACGGGGAACTACAGCACAGGGAGACTAAAGCACTGACCCAAGGTCACACCAGGAGTCTGTGGCAAAGCAGGGAATTCGACTCATGTCTCTTACATGATAAGCTGCCACCCAGACCATTGGGCCACCCTGGAATGACCATTTAGCATGATTCGGCGGCCAGTGTTTATTACCTAGGTGATCTCTCTCTGGGTTGTGACCCCCAGCGGAGTCTCACACAGGCGTCATGGGGTCACAACCTCCCTAAACGGGGAGGCAGGTCCCAGCTGGTGGAGGTTGAGACGCACAAACAGAGGACTAATAGGTTACATGGCAAATAATTCCCGAGTCCGCTCTTATATAGAGCCCCGGGCCAAGTTCAGAAGCCAGGTGTATAGTGGATGTAAGTTACACATGGAAGAGCAGGTGGGGAGGAGGGGAACAAAGCGGGGCTAAAGTCTGGTCTACGGTACAAAGTTCGGTCGACGTAAGGCAGCTTACATCGACCTAATTATGTCTGTGTCCACATTCCAGCCTTGCTCCCGCCCATGCAAGTTCCCTGCTACACCAACATAAGAACTGTTTCTCCAGGAGAGGCGTGGACTTACGTCGGCGTAGTTAGGGTGACGCAGTGTCCGAGCAGACGCTGCCGTCACTTACATCCGCTGTTGGCTGTCATTCTTGTCACTTGACAAGAAAGGCTGGTTGGCTCCCTGCTGTGAACCCCGCACTCACAACTTAGGCTGTCACCCTGGGGCGGGCGGGGGGGGGTGGGGTGTTCCAGACAGAAATCGGCTGTCCCTTGGGTTTCTGGCTCCCTTCTCCCAGCCAGGCCCAGCTCTGAACTGGGCTGTTGCCCAGGCTCTCTGCTGGGAGCCCTGCTGCCCCCAGGCTCCTGGCTCCAAGCTAGGCTGCCACCCGGGCTCCCCACTCCCTGCTAGGAGCCTGGCTGCCCCCATGCTCCAAGCGGGCAGCAGCCGGACTCACAGCAGGGATTTGGGAGCCCCGTGAGGAGCAGGGAGCCAAGCTCCATGGGGGGCAGCAGCCCAGCTCCTGGGGGGGGAGCTCCGTGCGGAGCTGAGAGCCCTGGCGATAGCTGAGCTCCCAGCAGGGAGCTGGGGAGCTGAGAGTCCTGGCTGTAGCTGGGCTCCCAGGAGGCTCAGACTCTCAGCCCCCACACTGCCCACTGGAAGCTCCTGGTGAGGGCACACACCACTGACAGGAGGGTAGTGTAGACATGAAAAACCAGTAATTACTGTGGTGGCTGCACGTGGACCAACATAAGTTTGTAGTCTAGACATGCCCCAAGTGAAAGCAGGGCAGGGCAGGGCTGGGATGTCCTTATGGACGCTTGAGATTTTAACAGATTTAATTGATTCCCAATTATCTCAAAGCAGTTTGCACCTTGGTGAAGGCAAGTCTGTGCGCACACCCCAGATATTTCTTCCAACTAAGGAATGTTTGTGGTTCACTGTGGGGATCCATCCAGCACAAGCATAGGTGCCAACTTTCCCCAGCGCTGGTGGGAGTTCGCGCCCCCCTGGCCCTGCCCTGACTCCACCCTTTCCCCGTCCCTGCCCCGCCCCCATTCCAACCCCTTCCCCAAAGTCCCTACCCCAACTCTGCCCCCTCCCTGCCCCTATTGGACCCCTTCCCCAAATCTGCACCCCAGCCCCACCTCTTCCCCGAGTGCGCCACATTTCCCCTCCTCTCCCCTCCCTCCCAGCGCTTGCCGCGCAAAACAGGTGTTTCGCGGTGCAAGCGCTGGGAGCTAGGGGGAAAAAGCGGGCACGCGGTGCACTCAGGGGAAGAGGCGGACGCAGAGGTGAGCAGTGACAGGGGGGAAGGGAGCTGCTGGTGGGTGCAGAGCACCCACCAATTTTTCCCCTGGGTGCTCCAGCCCTGGAGCACCCATGGAGTTGGCACCTATGAGCAAGCTACATGTTTGTAGCTTGGAACAAATGTTTGGGCAGCATCCAGACTGGCCTTGACAGTTAACTGGCTTCAAGTTAACTGGGAATCATTTAACTGGAGGTAAAAGCAGAGGTGAAAGTAAGCTGGTTCAGTCCAGTACGGCATACCGGCAAGAGCTGTGCCAGACCGGACCGGCTTCCCCGACCACTGCGGGGAGCCCTGGGCCCTTTAAAGCTTGGCTGGAGCCCTGCCACTGCTACCCTGGGGCTCTGGCAGTGGGGATTGGGGGCGTGGGGGGGGCTTTAAGCGCCCCCGGGGCTCCCCGCTGCAGCCGCAGCCCCCCGAGCCCTGCTGCTGGAGCCCCGGGGTAGTGGTGGCAGGGCTCCGGTGGTGATTTAAAGGGCCCGGAGCTCCGCTGCGGTAGTGGCAGCCGGAGCCTGGGGCCCTTTAAATCACCCCGGGGCTCCCAGCTGTCTGGTAGAGCCGGGGGTGATTTAAAGGCCCCGGGGCTCCCAGCCACAGCCGGAGCTCTGGGGCCTTTAAATCTTGATTTAAAGGGCCCGAGTATTTAAAGGCCCTGCCTCTTCCGGTTGAGGCCACGCCCCCTGCTCAGGACTCCAGTGTGCTGGTAAGTCCTTTAAGTTACTTTCACCCCTGGGTAAAAGGCTCCACTAAAGAGATGTCCCAGCCATGTAGTCTGCCTCCGTGGCCTTCTGGAGCACATAATCTCTGATTGGGGGTCTCAGCTCATGCCTGGTGTTGGCGGGAGGCCCTGTGCTGCTGGGAGTCCTCACTTTTCCTTTATGCAGAATTTGCCTGCAACAATGCAGACCATACATCTATGGGTCAGAGTCCCTTTTTTCCAATTATGGGGACCACCCCAGATTCCACCTGCAACTATCTGCATTGTCTCCCAACCCGGTGTGACGAAGTGGGTCTGTTCTTAATGTTTCCTCTGAATAGTGGGGGAGTGCCTCAGTTTCCCCTATGCAGTTCTTAAGTATCTAGGTGGTGAGATAAGGGTGTATGATCATTGCAGAGCCCTAGAGGGCAGGTGTGTGCAGGGGTCTGGACACAGAGAATGGCCAACACCCTGTTTCCTGGCAACTGATGGCCTGGCCCTTCCCCCCTGCAAGGTGAGAGCTAAAGAGTTGGAGAACAAAGGAATCAGGTGACCTCCTGGCCTGGGAAAGGGGAAAGCCCAGAGGAGAAGGGGCTGGAAGGAGTTTCAGTTTCAGGCTGGCTGGAGACATGGAGTGAAGTGCAGACGGGGTTGCCTGACTCACTGCCCCCCAAAATGGACCCAGCTGAGGGTCCTGTTCTCTGCACCTGCAAGCTCTGTTTTAGACCATGTTCCTGTTGTCTAATAAACCTTCTGTTTTACTGGCTGGCTGAGAGTCACGTCTGACTGCGGAGTTGGGGTGCAGGACCCTCTGGCTTCCCCAGGAGCCCACCTGAGCGGACTCGTTATGGGAAGCGCACGGAGGGGCAGAGGATGCTGAATGCTCTGAGGTCAGACCCAGGAAGGTGGAAGCTGTGTGAGCTGTGTGCCCTGGAGACAGGCTGCTCCCAGAAAGGAGACTTCCCCAGAGTCCTGCCTGGCTTCATGTGGAGCAGTTCCAGAGCATCGCCCAGGGTCTCCGTGACAACTGGTGACAGCGGTGGGATCTACTGCACCCCGTGGATGGCACTTCCTGCAGTAAGTGACTGGGGAGCAGTAAAACAAAGGGGGATTGACGAGGACCAGGCGTGCTGAAGATTCAAAAAGAGACTGTTTCAGGGGGCGGTTAACCCCTGGGAGTGTGTGACCAGCGAGAAGGATGGGGTCCCCCTGTGGACTGCGGTGAGCAGTCTCAGGGGCAGAGGAGCCTGTGGCTTGGCCCTGGGAAGAGAAGGACTTTTGCAGTAACAGGGTCCCCCGGGGGATTGCAGTGAGCGGTCCCAGGGGTGGAGGAGTCTGCAGCTCGACCCTGGCAAAGAGGTGGTGACCTCGAGAAGGGCTGGTACACTAGGGGTTCTCCCTGGAAACCGTGGGGAGCTAAGAGCACACAGGCCTGTAAGTCCACAACAACTTGGGAAGAGCGGAGTGATGGCCTGTCACCGTCTCCTTAAGAAGGACACTGTAACCCTGTGCAGAAAGAGAGGGTTGAGCATTGGAAAGTTCACCAAGGCAGAGTTAATCCGTGCTGCTGGAGGAGGATGACCGCTCTAAGGAACAGATTCCTGACCCCAAATGGGGCTATAGCAGGATCTGGGAGCAGCTGGAGTGGTAGCCAGGCATCCCCAAGACTCCTGCTCCCGACCAGACGGGGGTCTTCAGGATCGGGTTCCCCATCGGGGGATCGGAGATGGACGGGATTGGAGCTGAGTCCGAGAGAGCAAGAGGACTGTGAGAGACAGCGAGAGCCCGAGAAAGAGCTGCAGAAGCGGCATGAACTGGCGGTGGTGGGGTGGAGAGGCCTAGGGGACCTCCCCGGGGTGAGTGGGGATAGACCCTGGGGTGCCAGTTCCACAGGGAACCTCGAGACTAAATTGCTGCCCCTGGTTAAGGAGGGGGGTGTGTGGATGCCACCTCACTGCCTTTGAGCAGGCTGGCGATTTGAACCAGGGGGACCCTGCGGAAAAGCCCCGGTGTCTAGCTCCCTTGCTGGGTCCCAAGGCCATAGACTCCGTCAGCCAGATGGGTGGGGAGGTGGACAGGCTCCCACTCCTGACCCCAACCTATATGTCTGTGTGGAGTTTCCTGGGGCCAGGCCCCTCGGACCCCCAGTGGGAGCGGAAGGTGATGGTCAATGGGGAGACATTCCTGGGGTGGCGAGAGAGAGACAGAGAGAACTGTTCTCAGGACAGAGAGAACTGGTGTCAGGCCCTGGGTGGTGCAGCCTCAGATGCTATGGGGCTGTGTGAGCTGGGTGAGGGTCCCAGGTATGAAGCCCCTCGCCCTGCCTATGGCCCAGATCCCTGTGCAGACCCAGGAGGGGTTGGGCTGGCTGGCCGTTGGGGTGCTCCAGGATACCAGCTGCGAGACCCTTTTGTGGGGTGACTGTGTCTCTTTGGGACAGGATCCAGGCCCTGCTCCTGTAACTGCCGAGGGTTTGAATTTGAATCCAGGGAACCCATCGGTGGAGAGCGAAATGGTCAGTGAAAATGCAGATGACCTGGCTGGCAGGGGGGAGGAGCGGCTAGGTTCAGGCTACCTGCCTGCCTGTGACCAGACCCCTGGGGCTCCCCGCCCCCCTTGCAGACCGGAGAGGAGGCTCACACTGGCTCTGATGCAGTGAGGAAAGCAGGGAGCTCGCTGCCTAACCCCACTGGGACAGCAAAGGCAGCGCTGAGCACAGTGGGAGCTGAGACCCCAGCTGAGTGGGGGAGACACAGGCAGGGCAGGGGATCTGTTGGGAGTGGCAAGGTGCTTGGTAAGGGAAGTTTGGATGAGCCTAGGCAGCCTTGTGAGCTGATGGCTTTGTCTAGTCAGCAGGGTGGGAAGGCAAGGAGAGTGGAAGATGAGTGTCCCTGGACCTTACCTGTTAGCTGGGTGGAGAAGTGTGACAGGGAAGGAAATGTGTCTGTGTCTGTCAGGGGTATTGCCGTGCCTATGGAGGGAGCTACCCCGGTCTCCAAGCAGTTGTCTGTGACCAGCCCTGTGTGCTGGGACAAGGGGAATGAGATCCCAAGCTGTGTGCCTGGTAAAGGAGAAAGTGTGTCCGGCTCTTCTTTGTCCGTGGAGCAGACAGAAGGGGCCTTTCAGCCTGTGACGGTTGAGGGTCGTGCAGTTGTCTCAGAGTTGGTTCTGGATTCAACTAAAGCCCAGGAAGGGAAGGGTCCTAA